TACGTGCAATTATGTGTGTAAAAATCTTGTTTGGATTCTAACTCTGCACTGTGGCTTCCAACTGTTAAAGGCAGAACCTGGTCTCCAAGTAGGACTTCACCCCAACATGACAGATCCAGAAGGCAGGTGGAGGGACAGTGGGTAGAGAGGGTCCTGGCAGGGGGATGAATGGGTGGGCAGGTGCCTGCTGGAGAGCCTAGAGCTACAGGACATGCAGCCTGTCCCCAGGGACACCCTCACTTCCCCCTCCCATCACCGCCACGGCCAAGAAGAATCACGCATGGCCGGTTACCTGGCAATACCTGGGGCAGAGCGGGGGAGGGGCGTGAGGAGGCCCACAAGCTGGGGGTGGGGCAGGCAAACACACGTGTGCACCCCAGCCCCACCCCACTCAGGCTCTTGTCCCGCTTACCAAATATTGAGTGAGACCCAGCACGCTTTCCCCATGTGGGTGGCCTCGCTGAAATGTCCCTGACGTGGCAGACGTGCCCCCACAGGCCCTGCATGGAAGCCACATGAGAAAGGGGCGCCCTTCCTATTACTGGCGGGACAGAGACTGGGTCTCCCCGCAGAGGACCCAGAAGGACCTGATGTGCGCTTCCCTCACGCAGCCGAAGCGCGTGGAAGGGAAGGCATGCAGGAATCGATGGGACGTGATGTGGTAACAACGTGTCTGCGAGAGTTTCCGGAAGGGGGACAGGGGACAAAGCCGTCACCATGCCACACGCGGGGCAGGGTCGCTCCCACTTTCCAGGTTTTTTCCAAGGCCGATGTGTTTCTTTAATTATCAGCGTTTTTGTGTTTGACGTATGAGAGCTGAATGACTCCACCTTCATTTCCCAGCTCGACGTTAATTCCCACGCAAAAACCCAGGACCGCACACGCCTGCCTTCAATGGGCCAGAATCCAACCTGAGAGTCTGGGCAGTCGACATCTGAAGTGTTGCTTGCCCTTTCTCCATAGCAGATGTCCTGGCCGTCCTTTGAGAAGTCAGCGGGCCCAGTGACAGTCCCAACACCGCGCTCCAGGGAAGGATGCGGGGCCGGGCAGGAGCCCCCCGCCTGTCACGGAGCAGAGTCAGGCCTGCCGACTCATCTGCCGGATTCCAGCAGACCCTCCTTCTGCTAAGGGGTTGAAGATCCAAAGCTTGCTTGGGTTTCCGAACATGAGAACCGAACCACAGTTTCTGAGCCACCAGATGGGGAACGTGGACCACAGTGCTCCCTGGCCAGATCCGCACACCCCGTGGCCACACGCCTCCCGACCAGCAGCCCTCCCAGGCTGCATGCGAGGGCAACAGGACCACACGGCACTGGAAAGGTGCCGGGCATCCGAATCCTCTCCCGCCGTCTTGTCGCAGCCACTGGTCGCCTGGGGGCCATGTCCGAGCCGGGGGGCACTGCGGATGAGCCCTTGGCAAACGGCAGCAGAACCCAAGCCCGGGGTGCGGCGGCCCCATCTGTGCGCCCGCAGATCAGCAACGTTCTGTCTGTGGCCCGAAACTCACCGGTGGGTCAAGGCCAGGAACTTGGAGGTCAAGGTGCATGGCAAGGCTTCGTGTCACCGTGGGCTGTGCTGGAAGCTTCCCTGCCCCTCACCCCAGGGTCGAATCTGGGGCAGTCTTACTTGTCTACCACCGACCACCCAGAATCACCCTGAGTCAGGCCCCATCTGTCCTTGCTGTCGCCCCCGCCCCCTTGCAGATCCCGATGGCTCTCAGGACACCCCCGCGTCATCTTCCCGGGCCCCCCAGCCAGGTCGCCGGTCATCCGGAGGAAAGCAGTCTCGGCACGACAACCCTTCCTGATGGGACAGGCCTCCCCTCCCCTTCCCCGGCGTCTGTTGCTCCGGCGTGGTCCCAGGGCGTGCGGCCCCCCACGCCCTCCCGCACCCCTGCCTGCAAGAGTCTCCTCCCCTGTGGCTCTCACCAAGGACAGGCTGAGTGCAGCTTCCCTCGCATACTTTCCTACTTCCCGGCCCGCACTCCAGGTCCGGCACCCGGGGCCTCCTATGGAGACTGCTCGGGGACGCAGGTGACCACAGAGAGGGCCACACCCACCCACAGCTCGCAGACACATAAACACACGCGTGTATGGTGTATCGTGTGCAGACACACGCACACACACGTATACACACAGATGCTCACGTACACACACGGACACACACGCCTCCCCCACCGGAAGGCCTGCTCGTCCTCCTCTCCCCGAGCTCCTCCCGGCGCGCAAGCCTGGCCCGCACAGGGACACGACCTCTAGGGCAGGCGGATCGTGTGCGCGATGATAGGAACGAACGTGCAGAGGGGGAGGGGATCTCTGGGGTGATCTCACTGAAATGGGCCATTTTACAGGTCGGGAAAGGGAGGCTCAGGAACGAGCAGAGACCCCCCCCCCGACCCTGTGGACAGGGCAGCAGGACCGCAGGTCCCCCGCCCGCGCCCGCACAGAGGCCCTTGCGGCTGTCGGCACCGAGATCGCCGTCACCGGCCCCGGGGGCGGGGGGACACTCCAAACTCAGGGAGTCCTCCCAGGGCAGTCCTCCACACGTGACACTTGGTGACATTTGGGGATGGTGCACCCGCGCACTGCTGAGCGACATCAGGGTGACAGTGACAGAAAAGCCACCAGGGTCTAGGGCACCGCAGCCCGCCACCCCAGGTCCTCCCTGGTGTGCCCTGGGTTCATCCTGCCGCGGTGACTGTCCAACAGCGCAGGGAAAATGGGGCCCACGTGCCCTCCCACAGCCGCCTCGGGGCTCCACAGACCTTCACCGACCCCATGCCAGGCCAGCGCCTCCCCAAGCGCCGGGCTCCGGAGGAGGCGACAACACCGTTACGGGGCCCTGTGACCGGCAGCTCTGGCTCAAAGACTTCTCCCCGTGCAGAACAGGGAAGGGCACAGAGAGGTCAAGGGACTTGTTCAAGGCCACACAGCTCGCGTGGAGAGGCAGGAGGTGCACCTGGGTGACCCACACTCCCCCTGGATGGGACGGTCCCGGTCACCGGGCCCAAAGGGCACGGCCCCCCACAGGAGCCTCGGAAGAAAGGAGACGGATTTCAAAAACACAAAAACACCAAGCAGAGTCGATCACCGTCATTTTGAATCCACGTCTGCTAATTCACCTACTCACCCAGAATTGTTATCTCTAACCCCAAATCAGCTCGTAGCATTTTGGTGGTCACTCAGTGAGGTGCGCAGAGGGGCCCCAACTCGGAGCCGTCCCATGAGCACGTTCCCAGCTCCCACACCATAAATAAGCATCCTCCAGCCTCCAGTCCTATTGCATGTCACAGGTCTTGCATTTCTGTGCTTTTTGTTGGTATTTCTGCTGTTTAAAATGACCCCCAAGGGCAGTCCTGAAGGGCTGTCCAGTGTCTAAGCAGGAGAAGGCCGTGGGTGCCTTATGGGGAAAATACGTGCATCAGAGACACTTTGCTCAACATGAGTTCAGTGCTGTCGGCCGTGGGCTCGCAGCATCAACAAGACAGATTAAATCTGGTCTCTTGAGACAGAACCACAGGTGTGATGAAGTTATCCACTGATGGGCTTACAAAAATGCTGTGACTCGAGGCTCACAAGACCCCGACCCCATATCCCCCCCGGCCCCGAGAGCAAAGGCCAATGTTTGCTAATTCGGTGTCACGGAGAATGGGGGATGGCGGTCCCACAAGGCAGGCAATGCCCCCCACTGCTCCCGGGCCAGGCCTCCCAACAGGACGCCGCAGGCCGCCTGCTGCCACCACCCACCTGCTTCGGCGGAGAAGCCTATCCCTGAGTTGCGGCACCTTAGGACAGGCTGGGAGGCGTGCTCGCACACCCAGTCCAGCAAGGCACGGGTTAATAAAGAACAAGACCGACAGGGGGTGGAGAAGCACAGTGGGGAGATCTGCTGACTGGTCCCTGTCCCCACTCCCCACCGCATGCATGGGGCTGCCCCGCCCGTTCCAGGGAGCAGCGCCCCAGACAGGCCAGCCCAGTGCAGGAGACGCTGACGCCTGCCCGGCACCCCGTGCCTCTAACAAGCCTCTCTCTGCTCATACTGCCCAAGCGGGACTCTGTTCTCTGCAGGCCCCATGCAGCCTGGGCACCAGCGAGGGCAGGGGTGTTTGCTGCAGGAACGAGGATTGCACCGAGGGGCTTTGGGGTCAGCAGGCTGGGACGTGAGTCCTATTTCCCCCTGCGTGATCTCAGACCCATGTCCCCGAGCCAGCCCCCCACGGCTCTCTGCTCAGGACAGGGAGCGCCCCACAGGCTACGGAGAGAGCAGCTGGCCCCCCGCCGCCCGCCAGGACCCCGGGCCCGGGAGGAGAGGCGTGACCGCCCCCCACGAGGACAGGAACTGCTGGTCCACATGCACACCAGACACCCCTCCCCGGACACCCTGCAGGCCCCGTGACCCACGAAGTGGGCTTGGGTGGTGTTCTCTCCCCGACACCTTCTGGCTTTTGTACATCTGCATGAAACCAATTTGACAAGGAGCTTTTGGTTTTCTCTCCCAAATCAGGCCCCACCGTGGGATGGTTGACAGCTTTCCTGGCGGCCAGGGAGAAGGCCCCAGTCCTTCCTCGGACCCGCGTGAGGTGGCTTCTATGATGGTACCCGGGGCCCAAGGTGTTTGTCCCATGGGCGAACATGTTAGGTGAGGCGGTCCGAGGAGCCCATAAAACCAGATGAGGATCATAGCAACCTCTACAAAACCAAAGCACCCGCTGCCCAGGGACCCAGGACAGCTGGGAGGCCACCTGGGAACAGACGCTCTGCGCTCCGCACACGATCGGGAAGCCGGGGAAGAAGGCGGAAAACGGTCCTTGGCAACATGCAGACAAGCACGAGCCGCACCACCCAAATTCCAAGCCTGCTTCTCACAGGCTCCCCTAAACTCACAGCGCTGGGAGGGGGGCTCTGAGCCCCGAAAGAAGGCAGGGTTTCTGGCATCCAAGCCGACCGCGAGCAGGCCGCCTTCTCCACCCCTTCCCTGCCCCGGGCGGCAGCCTCCGGACATACCTTCTCCACCGGCACTCAGGCTCTCGTACGAGTCCCAGCGGATGAGAGGGTCTGCGGTGTTGAAGTCCACGATCACGCCGTGGTCATTGCGCAAGTGTTCACACCCTGCGTGGGAGGAGGCGTCTGTCACAGCCCAAGCAGGCGCGTGCACCAGCACCAAGACCCACATGTCTGCGCCCCCCAGGCCTGGCGCGGCCACAGGACAGGTGGTGCTCGTCTGCTGAACAAACTGGACGAGACCAGAGTCGGCTTGGCAGGAAGCAGAGGGGACATGAGCGCCCCGGCCGCTCTGGGCTCCCAGACCCACGCGCCCACCTGCCGACGCTCTGGGAAAGCTAGTGGGGCCCTGACCTCGTAAGCCTTGCCCTTAACCGTTAACTGAATCAGGGCACTGACCTCAGAGGGAAGGGGACTACTTTCCCCAGCAATGAAAGCCTGAAGGAAAACGTTCACGCATATGGACCTCGCGGTAAAAAAGAACCATTCGTCTTGACGATAAAAGGGCAGATTTCTCTTTCCGTGTATTTTTAGAGGAAAGGAGAATCTGTTTTGCACATACATATTTGCAGTCGACTGTGCTTCTAATCCTCTTCAAAAACATTCGATTCTTTGTCGGGGGAGAAGTAAACATTCAGCATGATCCCCGGACTGAAGGACAGACATCCAGGGACGGAGGGGCTGGGCCCTTCCTCGGGCAAAAGTCTAGCCATTTCTGGGGTCTTACTGATGCAACCGGGCCCTGCTGTCTCCAAGCCACCCCCACCCCCTGAAAGATAGCCTGTTATTGAAATAACTCTTATGACAATTTCCCAACATGCACAAAGGCGGGGGACTGGACGGGGCCCCCACGGGACCCACCACCCCACCGTGAGCACCGGGCCCCGGCACTCGGCAGGCTGCCTACCTTGAATCTTCTCGGGAGTGGCGGAGAAAAGCAACTCAATCTTGCCGTTATCAGGAAAACGGTCATCTGAGAAAGAAATCACACATCGGCAAGTTCAGAGAGGCAGCAGCAAAAAAGCACGGATGAACGTCATGCTTCCAACCCCGCGGGACAGCACCGTGCCCCTGCAGTGGCCAAGTTCCACCGTTTCTCCAGAATGTTCTCTGGACCGCGGCTCAGCGTTCTGGAAAACCGGTACCGAGCCGTGAGCAGGTTCGCCGTATGGGGCGTGGGGCGAACAGGGGCGGAAACGAACAAGGGCCCGGGTCCCTGTGTCCCCGCCGCTGCCGGCCGGCCCTCACCTTGGCTCGCGTTGTCCAGATCCTCCTTCCCGAACATGAGTCCGTAGCCCTGAACGGCCCCCGTGTGAAACTGCAGGCGGAAAATCACATCGCGGGTGGCCGAGCGGTACTTCTTGTGATAGCACTTGACCTGGAGTGGAGAGCGGAAGCCCGAGGGCCAGCTGTTGGGTGGGCTGGGCACAGGCCGGCCGGCCTCCCTCCCTCCGATGGACCCCAACCCTGTAGACGGCCTGCCAACGTCACTGCCGCTTTGGTGCTCCCGTGGGACCTACGCTCGGGAAGGGCACGGCCTCCGTCGTCAGACCAACGCACGTGAACTTGCTTTTGGAGGAGGAGGTCTGCAGGATGGAGTTCTGTGGCCCCGTTTTCCTAGCTTCTAAGAACGCCCCATGGAGAGGATTTTCCCTTTGTCTCAATTCTCTATGTTTCAACTTAAAACCTTTTTGTTTTCACAAGAGAAGTAGCTGGTCCTTACCATCTGTGGTATGCCAAATGATGATGTGCGGGCTAGGATTTAAAGAGCGAGGGGGACGCGGTGGGGAGGAGGGAGAGATGGCAGGGGGACAGGGGGGTGAGGCCCCGGGATTTAACTCCCCGAGCCAGGTCATCCCACGTCCTGGATGCTCATTTGAGACCCGCCCCGGAACCACCACGGGGGAGATCTGAGCCCAGGCTGTGGCACTGCAACCCCAGGGCTGGGGGTGCACTGGGTCCCCGAGTGCGGCTCAGGCCTCTGGGGTGATGCGCTGATGTGCAGAGTGGAAGCACCCCTTCTGGGCACGCGGCACTACTGGGGAAGGGCAGGCGGGCGGGCAGAGACCCTGTCATTTCCCACCTTTACGTGGGGGCCTTCCCTGCCCAAGGGGGAAAGTGGACGCGGGGGCCACAGGGAGGGCTCTCAGGAGAGGATCCTCGCCAACCGCCCCCCGTCCCCCCGGCCACAGCAGGGCAGGGGCTCCTTTCCAGGGTCCCCAGGGGCCCAAGGCCGGAAGCGGGCTGGATTCTGTTCTCAGACAAGCGGAGTGTGGGCGGCTGGTCCCTGCGCTGTGCCTGCCCAGCAGGGAGGGGAGGCTGGAGGCCGGGGGCTCTCAGAGGCCGCCACGCTCATGACAACGACTTTTCTAGGGCAAAGATGGGCTTCAGACATCTGGTGCATCAGAAAGGTCAACGAGAAGCAGCCGCTCGGGTTGGGTCCAGACCAGCGGTGCAGGAGAATGCCCCAGTGGAGGTTCTGTATGGCTGCCCAGAGAGACGCTCCCACAAAGGAAACTCAAGCTCCAGGAGCCCCCAGGAAATGTGCCCTCTGGGCAGAGGCTGGGGTTGTTTACCTTTGCGCTATCTACAAGGAAACGGTCTGATAAATACAGGAGAAAATGTAAATAGCCCGTCTGGGGAGTGTTCGGTGTTGACAAACATGCTGGGGCTGGCTGGTGCGAACCGGGGCCCAGACTCAGGCCTGGCCTCTGGGCCCACAGCATCTGTAGCCAGCCGGCAAGAATTCTGGAGAAATGGGAAAACTGTTGTTTGCTTTCAGCAGCAAACGGACCTTCAGCCCCAGGGTCTCCTCCTACAGCTGCTTGGGGTCTCTGACCTCTCAGGGGGGCCTGACCGAAGGCCAGCCTCTGGGCTTCCTTCCAGAACATGCCGTGTGCGTCTCCCCACCCTGCGAGCCCTCACCTGTGCTGACCCCGCTGACCCACGCGGACCGCAGAGGAGACACCTCCAGGGTGGGGCGGGGCCCCCAGCGACCCCATCTCTCCAGGAGGACAGGGTGACACGCAGAGAAGGGGGGTCCGGGCTCATGCCGGTCTGGTTCTCAAAACTTCATAAATGCCGGGGGAACCCAAGCCTGAAGCTGCAGTACGGGGCGTTCCATCCTGAGGGCTCCATCCAGCCCAGGCCAGCCCCCGCCGTCTCCCGGCAGGAGGGAGCGGCCCCGCCAATTGTGGGTGCTGGGGTCTGTGCACAGGGCCCCGGATGCCCCCGAGCCACTGCAGGGGCAGGCCAGCCCCCCGACCACAGCCCTCTCTCTGGGGGCCTTCCTCCCGCCCCAGTGAACAGACTCGTCCTGCAGCTGGCTCCGGAGGGACAGCTCATCCCCACCTGGCACCCCCAGGCCGGGCCCACCTTCCGCAGGGACGCGAGGGGCTCCCTCTGCGGCTCACCGTGACTCATCACAGCTGCTCCACACAGACCATGGCTCAGAGCCACGAATCCCAGCCCCTTCACATGGCTGGAAGCGGTGGCAGCCGAAGTCACCGCGCTCTGGGACAACGGAGGGTCAGGGATGGGGGTCGCCCTCCCCAGGCTGCCCGGGGCCGATCGCCCTGGGACACAGTCACCTCCCCAGGCCGAGTGTGACTCTGGTGTCCGCAGAGTCCTGGTTGTTCCAGGACAAGGGCTCAGAACGGAGGAGTGGCCGATCCCACTGACATAGAGCAGCGGCCTGGCGCGGACGCACGCTCTCCCACGGGGTGCCCGCGGGGTTCTCACAAGCATGCTGGCTGACACCCCAAGTCGCCCCACACACCTCTGTTCGGCGCACACCGAGCTGCTCTGCCCACAGATGGGCCAGTGCCCGCCGTCCCTCCAGCCCGGCCACCCATCGGGAACGCACGCCAGGTGTCTCCCGAACACACACACCCCAGGCACGACCACACACGAGCTCCGGGCAACCACCGCCCACCCGGCAGCTCCAACCCCGAGGCGGGATCGACCCACCGTCCAGGAGCCCCTCTGGGGGTACCTGACACCCCCTGCCGAGCCGGGAACGATTCACCGCCCGAGCCAGCAGATCTGGTTAGCACTGGCGGCCAGAGGCCAGAACCGCGCTCTCCACACTCGGTGGAAAGAACCGTCGGCAGCTGCTTGGCGAGCGCGCCCCCGATGCCCCCTTTAGGTCTAATGTACGCCCACACCGTCTGCTATGCTGTCAGGGGCCGGAAGCCTCCGGAGAGGGGGCGTCGGAGGCAAGACCCCGTGCGAAGGCGTGCGGGCTGCTTCCTTCAGTCTTGCTGCAACAACCCAACACCTCCGCTCGGCCTCGCCGTCTTGGCATAAAAACCCGCCCGGGCCCTCGGGGGGGACTGAGTGGTCAGCACTCGGGAGCACGGCCCACCCGGGCCTCGGGTGCCCTCGCGCGTGACGGAACGCCCGCTCAAACGAGTTCTGATCCGTCTGGCGGGTGCGCTAACAGCCCTGTCTAATCCTTGTGCCGCACGGGTGTGTTTTTACTTCAAACTCTCCAGCGACGAGAACAGCACCGTGGACCAAGGGGTCGGGGCTTGAGGACGCAGCCCCGGGAGCACCTGCGCCCAGGTCAGAGGTCAGCCCACAGGGGTCACCCTCCCCCCCGCCACCAACCCTCGTCCGTGGCAGCTCCGCCTCAAGGCCACCTCCCCCCAAATCATCCGAACTCCCGCCTGCTTAATACAAATAGCAAAGGAGGGTCCGTGCTCCCCACCAGATAAGAGAACCCCCCCTTCGAACCCCCTTTGCTGGTGGCCGTGAGGAACGCGCGTCCTCAGAGCATGAGCTACAGCCACACGCGGAGACGGAAAACTCTGAGAGCTAGCCCCCCGAGCCCAAACCCCCGCATCGGCACGTGTCAACACTGACCACAATTTCAGAAGATGGGAATTCATGCCCAAACCCACGGAGAGGTCAGCAGGCACCAGCCACGAACGAAAGCATAGCCACCACGGAGCTAGGGCCACGGGATGACCGAGACCCCGCCCGGGTGCGGGAGAGCGTTGGCACAGGACGCGAGAAAGGAAGTCACGGGCAGCACGGGGATGGGCACACGGAGGTCTGGAAGAACCACCTGCCAGAGGACAAGCGTCCACAGCAGGAGCGGAGGATGCTTCCAGAATGCCCCGAGCAGGAGGGCGCCGACAACGGTGCTCCGTTTGCAGCTGCTCCCTGAGCAGGCGTCCCCTCCGTTGGGAAGCTGGGTCGCGGCAGCGAGGTCACAGCCTCGCAACCACGAGGACGAAGTGTAAGCGGCCACGGGTGTGCACCGCGGAGGCAGCAAGACCAGGCACGCCGGACGGGAGAGTGTTTACAAGCCCATCAAGGCCTGGACCCCGGCCAGCTTCCCACTGCAGCTGCACCACGGCATTCCTCAGCGAGGTTACATAACGGCCCGGCTGCGCTCACGAGGGCTCTGCCCTCCTCCCCGAGGACAGCGTGTTTACTGAGCACCTGAGGCCCTGCCCTGTGGAGGGGCGGACCTGGGAGATGGGGGGGTCAGCGGTGCAGACGGAGGGCGAGGGGGCGGGCTGGCCGTGTTCAGGGGTCACACGGCAGGTGGACGCTGCCCGGGCCTCACCAGGAACAGCACCACCCACGAGGCCCCGCGTTGAGGGGACAACAAACGGAGCCCCACTGTCCCCAACAGGTCCCCAGCCAGTCAGAGCCCACGCAACCCGATTCCCGCAAAGGGAGCCCCTGTTATCTCAGCTAACGGCTCTCAACATCGCATCCCGGGGGAGGAAAGGGGCAAATCTATCTGCGTGCACACCCAGTGAAAGGAAGGAGGGGAGCACGCAGAAGACGAGCTGCCTTCTAGAAGGATGACGACCCAAGACAGGGAGTCAGCACTGGAGCGACCCCCACCCCCCACCGCCCTTCCAGAGCAAACCCCGGAGAACCCAGAGAGAACCCTCTGCTGTTGGCAGTAAACCTACAAAAGCTCTCTCTGCTCCTTAGGATCCTTTCCAAGTCACCACTGTTGCCAAATTCCGAGAAAGGAGAATGCCTGCGGACGTGGGCCTGGATGAGCAAAGGCCCCGTAAGCTATTCTCCACACGCAGCTCCCTGGAGGTGAGGTTCGCCCGCGGGCTGACTCTGCAGAGGGGCACGCGGAGCCACCCCACAGCAGCATGTGGGGGTGGGGCAGAGCCACAGTGCCCGGGTCTCCAGCGGCTCATGGGGAGACGGGAGAAGCGGGACACAGGAAGCCAGGGCCTGCCCGCACGGGAGGAGCGGGGGTGGTTCACGCCCCTCTGGGACGCTCCGCCAACGTCGGGGAACGTTCTGCAGCATCTTCCTCCCGTGATGACCCCCGATGTGGATTTTGCGGGGGGGATCCAGAAGCCCCAGGGTTCAGAGTGGCAGCACATGGACCCC